GAGGAACCTCCGTAGGAAATGGATACTGGGGCAAATAGACAAAAGGGTATACCGGGAGGAGAAGGCCCGTTGCAGAAGGATTCTTCGCAAGGCTAAGGCTGATTATGAGCTGAGACTTGCCAAGACTATCAAGAGCAACAAAAAGGGCTTCTTTCAGAAAGGCCCAGGTTTGCTCCACACCATCCTTAGCATACAGGATCCAGCAACTTGTCAGAATAGGCCAGGGACCCCCAATATTTTTTGGGTCGGTGGGCACAACTGCAATTTTGAAAGAGCATCTGGACACTTTCACACAATGGCTGCTGCTGGTAGAGGAAGCGGCTTGCTCATTCATAAAATGGTGAGACTGAAACTAAAGGCAAACTGGTGAGACTAAAAGTAATGCAGGCTGCTGGAGAACTAAAGTGAATGGCAGAGGCAGCTTCCTGAGCCCTGATGCAGAACATCAGTGTTTTGAATATAAGTAAATACATTACTGAAGAGCAGCCTTCCCTTGCAGCATGCTAATTTCCCAGGTTTTTTAAAAATATATTTTACAATATGTAAATGAATTAAATAACAAAGTGGGACAGGAAGCCTGGTGAGTGCCAACAGTTAGGCACACTGTTGTTTATGGGCACCATACTGGATACCCTTTAAGAAGACAGTATTGCGGTGGACGTGCAAATAGTCTGCCCTGTTATAAGGAAGTTTCCTAGTTTCCACATAGGGATCCTCCTTGCTAGATTAGAGCCACTCTCTTTTCTCAGGAAGGGAACTGAAAGTAGTTTGTTGTGGTAGTTCTGAATTCTACCTAGCATGATTCCTAGCTCACACAGACATTTACTTTAAAAAAAATGTGGATGGGAATGCAGGTCCTTTCAGCCTACTTTAAAGACAACAAAATTATATTGTTAACGGGATTTTTATTTTATTTTCAACCCTTGTCTACCATGCTATAAATGTGCTGGTCAGCTGTTGGAAAGACAAATCACACATATTTGTACTGGACATTTTTATTATTAGGATATTACTGGTTTTTTTAAAATGAAAATGATAGGAAATTTGTAAGAGAATTTGTAAGGGTTAGTAAAAGAAAGCCTCAGAATAGTGTCCTAGAGAAGTCTACACTAAAGTTAATCCTACTGAATGCAAATGGTACCTACTTCCAGGTCAGTGAAAAATATAGTGGAAAAATATTAATGCTGTTGAAGAGAACTACTTATGCTATATAATAAGGTGTGCTTTTTGTAATCATTTCAAAATTTATCTTGCATTAACATAAAATTTAAAGCAAATGAAGATTTTTAAAAACGCAAAGCATAGGTTAGATTCTGAAGTTTTACAATTATATACTGGTGTAGTACATTAGTACAGATTAATAGCACGGAATTTAAAGCTGATTAAACATTTAAACAGTGTGCAATGTACAATCAGAAGTAATTCCCCTGCTAAAACAGATAAATAGTACTATTCAGGTAGCATATACTAAATATTTACCACTAGTTAGTGGTAAGAAATTTATTTAGAATACTTTTCTGGAGAGGATTATTTGCTGTCTTAGCAAGTTCTGGTGCTCATGTGGAATCAGTGCAGCAGCAAGTCCCATGTAAATGTTATTAGGATAGAGTACAGATTCTGGGAACTGATCAGTAAATCATGAACATTAAACATTTTCTGCTTGTCCCTCTTGCTAGGCATTGTCTTCTAACTGCTACCTTTTTAGAGCAGGGAATCAGTACCATCTTCTTAGTTCTTAATCAACACTTGTTCTTAGTTGTTCAATATATGGCAAATTGCTGATTTTGTCTGCTCATTTTTGTTTTATTTTTGTTTCTTGCACTCTAGATTTTGATTCTGCTCCACACCCTATATTATACTTTTCCTGGAACTTAATGAGATGCAGTCCTTGAGTATCAAGCATGGGTTTATCTGCATAGCTTCTTGGTCATCTTCATTTTTTTGGTACGCTAGAGGATAGGCATTTCTGGGAATGGCCAGCTACTGACTCTAATCTGTGGGCCAGAATTATCCAGCTTTCTCACAGAGAATCCAAAACTGCAATAAAGTTCCCACATCTAGCTGAGAGGACTGAAAAAGTGCACATTGGTCCAGCAAGGGACCTTTTTCTTTCTGAATGCACATGAGATAGCAGTATAATAACAATTCTAGGAAATATACCCGATGGAGAGTTTCTTTTCCTTATTACTTACTGCACCTAGCTGAAAGAAAAGCAAGGCCAGATAAAATTGCTGAGTTCCAGATCAGACTGACTGCCTTTCCCAACCCTAGTCATTGTAGAACATGATACAAGAAATGAAGCCCCAGAGCTAGCCACTAGCAACATACACCTATCTACACTCTATTAGCTATGGTGATGGTTGTTTTGGGGGGTAAGTTGCAATACTGTCTCCAGCAGAGTGGTGGCATTTTTTCCTGAAGTCTGTTATGCACCTTACATCCTACAGTGTAGCATTCTGCATATTTTTGTTCACTCAGACATTAGTAAATTGATGCAACTTCCTTGGATTAAAAAAAACATGTTCTTTATAAGCTGCTGATATAAGGGGTTCCTTGCCTTGGTTCTAGTAAAACATTTAAGTGGCAACTTTTCCAGTAAACTGCTTCATCACTGGATCATTTTGCTTCAGACTATGCACAGTACAGTTAAGTGTATCCTCCAGCCGGGCTATTTACTGTTCAGAATCTACAGAAAATATTATTTAGCCACTTTTCATTATTTATGGCTGAATCAAATTATTTCTCCTGCCAAACGTTTGTGACTGTTTCCTTTCAGAATGGCCTTAAACATGACGAAGAAATGTTTGCACAGACCCATCATTTAATGATCTATTCAACTGGACACGCTTTCACATTGTCATCAGCACTCATAGAAGAATCCATTCACTCACTTCCTTCCAGCACAAGTAATTTATTGACTATAAAATGTAATATTTAATGGCTTTCAGTGGTCACAGCTTAATCCTTTAAAATAGTGCATACTGGTGTATAGGCACCCTCTCAGACTTTAATAATTTGAAAGCTAATTTTAGATCCCTACACAAAACTAGGAACAGATGAGTCAACCATTTTACTGGTAGATGACAATGTAATGTTCCCACCCTTGAAAGCAGACCACTGTGAGACTGGTTCGATGGGTCAAGAAAGACCCCAGTGTCTTGAGCTCCATTGCAGTTAATTTTCAGACAGTTGTGTTGCCATTAACACACTTTATGGGGAAAAGCTTGTGAGTCACTGGTTCATGTAACTTGTTGACTCAAGGAAGCCCAGCTTGGAAGTGGAGCTGTGGTGACTGGGAAGATCCTGAAGGTGTCATGACCCTTAAGAGTGCCACAGGCCTCTTTGATGAATTTCCAGGACTTTGAGGCATTTCAAATGGGAACAGAAGGTAAATGAGCTTTTAACCCTTTAAATTATGGAGATTTACAAACCTCAGTGCAAACCCTCAACCTAAGTGCTGACCTCTGTTTGAAGAGCTGCTGTGTCCCATGCCAGCTTAAACAGAACAAACCCCCCAAAGTGCTGCCCATCCACAGTTAGCATCTGGACCACAGGCCTGCAGTACAGTGAGATATACTGTATACTGTGCATGTAAATCAGGATATGCAAGTATATTGCAAGTCACGTTCACCTTTTTCTGTAATGTGTTACTCCCCTTTCCACACTAGCCTGGTTGCTCAGTAAGAAGCTACCTGCCCCCACCTTGCAATGCTCTGTTCAAATCCAGAGGAGCAAGGACAACTGTCCAGCACTTGGGACTTTAAAAAGGCACTTTATAATTAAGTGTCCTTACACTGAAATATTAAACTAGGTAACTTAGACTTGTATCACCCTGTGCTCATTTGTAATGGCTCCCATAACAAGATATCTGGGCATGGTCCGGCTGGGAATTCTGAAACTGTCAGCCTGTAATTAGATATCTGAGCTGTATTATGCAAGCTGTACTACACTCCACAAAGTTATATTGCTTCATCTGTTACATGGAAGTGGGCTTATTTAGGACAATATTGTCTAATGCACATCAACAGGTCTCTCCAGAACGCAGCACAGCACTCTGTGTGTTTTTCTGAACAATGATTCAGCTGTACAGCATAAGGAACTGATGAATGCCCCTATTCCTTGTGGTATGCATGCATACAGGTAGCCAGGCACTAGAATAGTGAGACACCAGCTTAGGGCCAAACTGGACTTTCTGCTAATCATGTAGATATAGTGAAGGCTTTTTCCTTAGTGTCATGTAAGCATGCATGATCCTGCTCTGGATCAGGATCATGGTAGCTGGAGGGGGCGGGGGGAAACACTACACATTTCCTCACGAAATTCCATCCTCCACCCTGTGTATGTGTGGTGGTGTGGAGTTAAAAATAAATAATCACAATTGAAATCAATGGAAACTTTATTATAATCCCCCATGGGAGTGGAATCTGAGTAAAACAGTTGGGAAGTTGATTTTATGCAAACCTGCAGCATTATTTGTATTTCACCTTTTTTCTTCTTCTTCCAAGGAGCTCAAGGCCTGGGCCTGGTGCCTTTGTAAGGCACAATGCCCTGAGGAGCCCCTCAACTTCTAGGGGGTGACTCTCATCTGTGCCCCTAAGTCCTCGGCCTCATCTAATCTCCTATGCGGATATCCCCTGTCCTGCTTTGGGGAGAACACAGAGGCAAAATAGTCATTTAGCATCTGTGCCTGTTCCCTCCTATCAGTCACTGGATCTCCTTCCTCCTTATTTAGTGGTCCCACCACTTGTCTCCCTCTTCCTATTTACATGCTGAAAGAAGCCCTTTTTGTTGCTCTTGACATTCTTGCAAGTCTCAGCTCGTAATCAGCCTTAGCCTTGACAAAATATGACATTGAAAGCTATTTCTGCTAGTACAGTTATGCATGCAATGTGGCAAGCAATCTACTTTTATGGAGACATAAATCAAAAATGTCACATAAAATACAGAGGTAACTGTTGGGCCAAAAAAAAAAAAAAAAAGGCCAAATGAAAATTTCCAAATCCATAGCACCATACACACCTTTATTATGACATTACAGAGGTCACAAAATACTGTGCAAATCTTTGGATTCTCCAGAACTCTGTATAAGATTGTAAACAAAGTGGGGAAAAGACTGGGGTAATGTTCCAGCCATGAAACCTACATTTGGTTACAGTCTTATGATGGAAAGCGGGAGGCAGCTACAGACATTCAAATTAGGTTTTCCAAGGTTCAGAGAGGGCATCAGGTGTGCTTTCAAAGGTTGTCGGAAAGAAGAAACAATGGTTGATGCCAACAGACAAGTCCTCAGTGCCGCTGGCCATGTGTTTACAGGTCGGTATGACCCAATTAACAGTGGAATCACATTACAGTTGTATTCAGACCTTCCAGAAAATCTCTTGTGTGTGAGCAGAGAAGCTGGGTTGATAATTTCACCTAATGTCTTCAGTGGGAGGAGAAATTCTCCAACAGTTTCTTGAAGGTGGAGTAGCACTGGCTGTAGCAGATTCTTCTTTCAACTCTCCTTTCTTTTTCTCTTAGTGTTTCGGACAGTTACCATGAGTGTTGGCAGCCTGGACATTATTTTGCATCTTGCACAGTGCCCCATTCTTCCTTTCAGGGTATTATGGACATAAGTTTATATGCAGGACATGAGATAGTGACCAATCCCCTCCTACAAAACAGAGGAGAAAAGTGCCCTAGTTCTAGAGGAATAAGGAAAAGAACCATCCCAGTTTTTCTCAAGTCAAACAAGTCTTCTGAGAAATTTTGGCTTATTAGTGGCCATTCTTCAGGGTTCAGCACTTCCCCCAGGTTTTCCCAAAATTTTGCAGAGGTGATTGAAGTCTAATAATATTTATTTTCTCCTGTAAGCCACACAGTGTGTCTGGGACAGTACTGTGTTTATCCCCAGGGAAGAAGGGAACTAGTGCTGGGCTAGAACCTGTCCTTTACTTCCCCTAAAGCAGTGATGGTGAACCTTTTTAGAGACCAAGTGCCCAAAACCCACTTAATTATCGCAAAGTGCCAACACTGCAAAATCTGAATACTGAGGTTTTAGTTTAGAAAAAAATAACTCGCAGCCAGTCCAAGCAATATATATACTTGGTAGCGCACTGCGAAAGCTTGGACGAGTCACGGATGACTTGCGGCTCATGACGTCATTGCCTGGTGCCACTACTCCTTTCCGAGCATGTGCATGATTCTTATGTGCGCTGTTATCCGATGCTTGGCTGCTGGGGAGATGTTGGGGCAACTTGGTTCGCGTGCTGACAGAGGGCTCTGCATACCTGCTGCAGCACATGTGCCATAGGTTCACCACCACTGCCCTAAATCTTTCTTCCATATCCAAGAGACTTTCATTTTTCCAACTCTTTTTCAAGGTGCTTTAGAATTTCTTCTAGTACTGTCTGTGAACTTCCCTCATCATTTCATGATGGCACAGATGTGCACAGGCACATGTTTTCTCGCACTGTTACAGCTCTCTCTCATCACCCTCCAGCTTCCCTGGTTGCCCGTTTCCTGATCTGGAAAAGCCCTCTGAGGAGTAGTTATTTTATGACACCTTCACCCTGGTTTTAACTGAAGTACTGGAAGCAAGGGAGGCTGCAGAAAAGACAATGGCACAATGAGATGCAGGGCACTTGGACACACTTGTCTGACTCATAAGAAATCTAAGCACAACCCCCTCCCAAATGATACTTGTGATAAATTCTTTGGATTTCCCCCCTTTGAACATCTTTAAGGATGTCTCCCTATCAAATTGAGTAAGAATGTTCGAAACAAAGGTGTAAGAAATGTCTGGCCTCTTAGCAGGACCCAGTGGGAACAGTGACTCTGAAAGCAACAGCAGTCAAGGAGCAAGAGGGGAACAGCAGGAATCTCTGAGGCACCTAGACCAACCAGCTTTAGCATCTCTGACTCAGCTCAAACAGAGCATTCTTTGAGCTGATTCTCATGAGTCACAGAACCATGGTTCCAGAGCAGGCTCTGCACAGCAGAAAAACACAACACCACTGAAGAGTGCTGAGAGCAGTGTCTAAGGGCAAGGCAATGCTGTATGCACAACTAATTTTGCATATATTTCATCCAAATAGTCTGATTTTCTTTCCTTCTTCCTTCAAGGTATGTTTCTTTGGTTAATTACAGCTTTAGCATAAAAATTCAGAGAGCTGCCACTCTTCTAAGAGCATCTTGAAAAATGCCTTTAAAGATTCTGATTTGAATTTGGCCCCTTAATGCAGGGGTGCGCAGAACACAGATCTCTAGATAATTTGGACTTCCAATTCTCAGCATTCCTGGCAGGAGTCTCTGAAACTGAGGCCCAAAACATCAGGAGATCTACCTTTTCCACACCCTGCATTAAGGAAGAGGTAGTTAGTGGTTTTGTTTGTGTGGACTTTGAATGGATTCAGAATGTTTCATGTGCCCCCTATACATTATGTATTTTTGACCTCAATGCTACTAACTGGTTACACTTTTACAGAAGAAACATGGTGAACTAGGGTTTCGCTTAAGACATTTTGCTGCCTGAGGCAAAGCAACAAATGGCACCCTGTACCCAAGGCAATACACAGTACCCAAGTTATTTTGGCATCTGTGGCAGAAGATCTCAAAAGCACCTCTCCCCTTCCTGGCAGTAAATATAAAACAATAATATCTAATAGTCTGCTTCTTTTATATGATGTGCAATACCAGTTGTAGCAATGCTGGCTGACATGGGGCTTACGAGAGTAATCTAGCTGTTTTCACACTGGCACATATTTGATCTCAAGTAGCACCTTTCATTTTGTGAATGAAATAAGCTTTCAGATGGAGTTCTCTTAGTTTAAAAGTAAGGTCATTCAAGCAGACACAGGACAAAGCAGTTCTCTGAACAGAAGGGACACGAGTCTCTTTAATGTGTGCAACAACTTAAAGTTTTAATAATGTATACAATAATAATTAGCCAAACATAATAATAATAGTTTAATCAAGTAGGTGCTTCCATTTGCTTCCATTTGCTGAAGCATCCATGGATCACCATCTGTATCTTGGCATCCTTTCTATTAACAGTAGGCTAATTATCTTCTTTCTCACACCTGTTGTTACAATGACAGAATCAGATCCAAAATTTGAGCCCAACTGAGATATTGGGCAATGCATTTCCACTGGTTAATGCTCATTACAAACTTTTCAGTTGTGTCCTGTTATCAAATCATCATTTCATGATAGTACAATTGAATTTAGCCTTAGCTTCATTTCAAATGTGTCAAGCAGAGAAGCCTGGTTTTCCTACTGGGTACTACACACTTCTACTGTGCTCAGCAAGGCCCATCCTTGGGATGGGCAATTTGTGGCCTTCCAGATGTTTTGACTTACAATTCCTATGGCCCAATGACTCTTTTCAATGCTATGATTCTACGTTCCCTCACCACTGACTATGCTGATTGGGGCTGCTAGGAATTGTACAGTGAAATATGTGGAGTTAACATAAGTTGTCCATTTCTGGTCTAATCTCTGACCTTCAGTAAAGTTGCTTTATCTTACACACTGAGTAACCCCAGTCATTATTTTACCCATCTAGAATTAGGCAGCTGGATTTGCAGAGCAGAAGGTGAAATCCAACAGGGCACTCATGTTTCGACCATTTCTCTTTCACTCTGCAAATTCCTATCCGTAAGTCACACCCATGCTTACAGAACAAAGCACAAATGCTTCTGGTGCAATCAGAAATGTGTGAAAATGCTAGTTTCTGGAATGGAGCAAATAGATAGAGCTTGCACAAGGGAGCACTGCTGGCATGTCCCAATTAAGAAATGAGCATTTCCACTCATTTCAGGGCTTCCTTGGGGAAGTGCTAAATCTCTGTTGTACATGTGATGGCTCCTACAAGTGCAATAGGATCAACACAACAAATCTTGCATGGAGCAAGAGAACTGGCTAGGGTGTAAGCACCCCTTGTGATTCCACTTTAGAAGTGATATGCTGCGTCAAGTCATACACAATTCCTACAAGAAAGTGCTTCTGTGCAAATCATACCTTGTAAGTGTGATTAGCACATAAGCAAACATAAGAACAGCCCATAAGAACATAAGCAAACATAAGCATTGTTGCTCAGCCAAGTCCCTCTGGGAAGCCCCCAAGTGGGGCATGAGGGTTACCACTGTTGTTTCCCAAAAACTAGTGTTCAGAAACTAGTGTGCAGAGTATTCCATTTCTCAAGCTCAAAGCAGTACGCAGTTGTTAACATATGAAGCGACCTCAAGGCTGGCTTGTGCTGCACAAAACTATGTTGTGAACTATGATGACAGTGGGCATATACACTTACAGCTTGAATTTGCTCTGTACTAGTTCATGTTTTGTTTGGGCAACTGAAGTCCCAAGACCTCGGTAGTGGCTGGTATAAAAAAGGTTGAAATAAATAAATAAATAAATAAAGGTCACCCACCACCAGAATTCTTTCCCTTTGGATGCCTCCCTACTGTTGTGCTGATGAGTTGAGGTGCAGGCTGTCAAGAATTCATGCCCCCTGGCAAGGGGTAGCAGCAGGAAGGGGGGAGCATTGGTGCTTCCACGGTATCTCATGAGATACCTACAGGAGGACCAAGTGGGGAGGAGAGGAAGTGGCGGCGCACCCTGCCTTCATTGCACCCAATCATCCATCAGATGCATTGTGTGAAAAAGGGTTTCTAAGCCAGACTGCAGCAGTCGGGCTGTGCTAGAATACAGCTCCCATTATCTCCAGCCAGCATGGCCCATGACCGTGTGTAGTCCAGTATTTGGAAAGTACCAGTTGGAGAAGTCTGCCTTTCCGAATGGACTCTGAGATCAAAGTAGGTGAAGGGCAAAGATGGTCTGCTAGAGGGGTCTGTTGCAAACAGGGGTGCCTGAACCAGTGTGTTTCTAGCCTGCATTGCTTTCACATGTGCCTCTCCTGCCTCCTTTCAGCATTAACCAAACAGGGAGGCCAGTGCACAAGTTGAGTTCCAAGCACACACTCATTTGTGAAGTGTGGGTCAGATCTGTTCATATCAGCTCAGGCAAAGATAGGATTTTTCAGGGCACCTAATCACAAAACAAACATCTTACAAAATTGTCGGCTTGGTCTTGGGGCTTTTTTTGCCTGAGGTGGTAAATTGCTGTATCTGCCAAAGAGCTCTTCCTTTCCAATTTTCCCCTTCACGTGACCTCTAGGAGCAACCTCTAGGAGGAGCAGAATAGCTAAAATAGGCAAGGAGAAACAGCACCTTTTCCCTCCTTCTAAAATAATACCCCATTTTCCCTATTCCAAAAAAGGGGTTGGAGAGAGAAAATAGGAGGGAAACGGGAGGATTGTGATATTATCTAAAGAGCCCACAGACAACCATGAGTGGTTGAGCTAGCAGAGCAACTACTACCCATGAAAGAGGAACTCTCAGAACCACTGGCTATTATCTTCAAGAAATCATGGAAAACAGGAGAAGTGACAGATGACTGGAGAAGGGCTAATCCTCATCTTCAAAAAAGGGGGAAAAACGGTGAACCTGGGAACTACAGACCAGTTAGTCTAACGTCAGTGACTGGAAAAATTGTGGAGCAAATTATTTAAAAAATCAGTCTACAACAGGGGTCCTCAAACTTTTTAACTAGGGGGCCAGTTGAAAGGTGCTGGGCACAGGCTAGAAAGGTAGTGCTGGCGGTGTGCGCGGGCTGGCAAGGGGGGGTGGCACGGGCGGGTGTGCACTGAGGAGGGCACACGCTGTTAGGCAGGCGCACGAGGCAGCCGCATGCTCACTTGGAGATTGTTTTCTGAGCGAGCAAACCGCTGCTTCCCTGCACACGGGGCATGGCAGGTATGGGCACGCGGGTGCAGCAGGTCCAAACTGGCATGGCGGGCCAGATCCAGCCCCCAGGCCGTAGTTTGAGGACCCATGTTCTAAACCCTGAATCATTTTTGTTGCGCTTCTCTGAACCTTTTCTCATTTTTCTTCATCTTTCTTTCACCTTAGTGTCCAGAACTGCACACAGTATTCCAAATGAGGTCTGACTAATGAAGAGGGTAACGGAACTACTACTTCTCACGATTTGGAAGCAATACTTTTATTAATGCATCCCAAAATAGCATTCACCCTTTTTGTAGCTGCATCGCATTGTTGGCTCATATTTAGTCTGCTGTCCACAGTAACTGCAAGGTATTTTTCTTTTTCAGTTCTGTTGAGCCACATATTCCCCATCTTGTAACAATGTATTTGGTTTCTTTTTCCTAGATGGAGGACTTGGCACTTGCCCCTACTGAATCTCATTCTGTTGCTTTCAGTCCAGCATCCAATCTCATCAAGTTTGCTCTGGATCTTCAGTCAGTCTTCCAGGGTGCTTGTAATTCCACCCATTTTTGTATTATCTGCATATCTGATTATCCTTCCTTGCATTTCCTTATCTAAATCATTAATAAAGGAGTTGAAGAGTACTTGGGCCCAGCACTGAACCCTGAAGCACCCTTCTAGTTACCTCCCTCCTGTTTGAGAAGGAGCCATTGATGAGCACTGTTTCTGTCCAATTTATCAGCCAACTTTGGATCCACCTGACAGTTTTTCTATCTAGTCCATGATTTTCTAATTTGCTTATCAGAATAGCATAGGGTACTTCATCAAAATCCTGACTAAAGTCAATGTAGTTTGTTATTTTATTCCATTTCTATGCTGCCCTATAAACCGGAAAGTTCTCTGGATGACTTACAAATGCTAAAACAGCATACATACATAGATTATATCCACAGTGTTATCTCTGTCCATTTGGGAGATAACCCAGTCAAAAATGAGATAAAATTAGTCTGACAGGATTTATTCTTCATAAATTCACGTTGGCTTTTATTAATCACTGTGTTTTCTTTGAGGTTCTTGTAGACCATGGGTCCTCAAACTACAGCCTGTGGGCTGGATCTGGCCCGCATATCCATTTATCTGCCCTCCATAGAGGTTTTGAATTTGCTGTGTGTGTGTGTGGGTGCGCACGCATGGCAAGGCACAGGCTTGCTCTCAAGGAGATCCTTTCGGTCTCGCTCGGAGAAAACAATCTCCTTGTGAGCAAGCCACCGCATGGCGAGGCGCAGCCTTGCTTGCAAGATCCTTTTGGACTCACTCGGAGATCGTTTTGGACTCCTTGCTCACAAGCTTGCGCAGCGGCAGCTTGCTCGCAGGGAGATCTTTTTGGGCTTGCTCGTATAAAACCATTTCTGCACACGCCCGTCCTTGCCTCGCCACGCCCCCCCCGCCCATACCTTTCAAATGGCCCCCTGCTGAAAAAGTTTGAGGACCCCTGCCTTAAGGCATAAACTCAGAAAAAAGGCCTTTTTATTCCCCAAAGCATGAGTGTCTCCTGGGGGCTCGTTTCTCTCTTTCTCAGAATAATACCTCCTTGCCCAATTCTCGATCACAACAGTAGAGCTATTACCCTGGGAGCAGAGTGCCACAATCCTGGAAAACTTAGCTACAAGCCCAGCCGCTTCTTTCAGTGTGCCCAGTTCAGCAGCCCTTCCTTCTAGGGTGCCAACTTTCCTTGAGGGTCGGGAGCTGATTGTAGACCCCACACCCTCAAGGCTTCGGCCCAGCAGGACACACTGCAGGGCACAGAATACCCCTCTCCCCGCCCGCACCTTTGCCGCTGCCTTTCCACCTACATAGCTGGTGGTTTCTTGCACAAAACCAACAGAAGGCGCAGAAGGTTCTTTCCTTTGTGGAAGGAAAGAACCCTGTGGCTAGACCCATACCCGTGCTTAACTTCTGCGGACAAAACTTTTTACCTTGACACTTTGTCACTAGGGCAAAGAAGTTTTCTTCAAGGGGCTCCTCCTCAGGCTGTTCCAGCCCTTCCCTCACGTTCTGCAGACACGGCAAACATGGCTGAAAAATGGAAGCGAGGGAGGGAGGGGGAGGAGTCTTTTCTTCCACTTCTAGAGCAAAGTGTTGATTGCTCTTTTGCTCCCAGAACTTGCTTAACAAAGCAAGCACGCACACTTACTTGATAGCGGAGACCTAGGCAGCCAGCGAGACTTACTTGTGAGTAAACATGCTCAAAATCGCGTTAAACGACCGTAATCCCAAAACGCTCAACTCAGCCACATCCCAGGCACGTATACTCAGAAGTAAACTCTCGCTGAGTATCCAGTGCAGCTCGATTCCCGAGGAAACGTGCGAGGAGAATCGCGACCTTACTCTGGAAGCAGGTCTCATTTCACAAAGTCGTAATGAGCTTCGAGCAGGGGGAAAAAACCAAACAAACCCGGCCAAACCAAGCAGCACCGTCGTGCTGCACACGCCCAGCCGGCTTCCTGTGTGTCTTGGCGACGTGAAGAGCGGCGACAGCCCTTCCCCCGCCCGTTGCCGCCCCTGCTGGAACTGCCGGCTTCCTAGGGGCAGGTGCTGGCGAGACCGCCGGTACATGCATGGCCGAGAAGCGGCCGGTTGCGACTGCGTGCAACAACAGCAGACAGGCCGCGGGAGGCGGGGAGGTGGGAGGGTTTAAAGCCCGTTAAAGGGGGAGGGGATGCCTCCTAAGCTGGAGAGCGAGCGAGCGGAGAGAGTCAGCTGAGCAAGCGCTGGCTGGCGGCGGCGGCGGCAAAGGCACATCGTCCTAGGCTGGTAGCAGGAACGCTGAAGAGGAACGCCTGCAAGGAGCCAGGCGCACCATCGTGGAAGAACGAGAAGCACCCCCTCCCCGAGCGCCGAGCTCGGTCGGGCTTGCCTGGTCATTTGTAGGTGAGCTTTTTCTTATTTTCTAGCGTCGGCGCCAGGAGTTTTCCTCTAGCCTGTCTGCGATTCCAAGAACTAGTTCCCGAAGAGAAGGAGGAGAATCTTCTCTTCTTTTTCTTCTCCTCCCCGCCTTTCTTTTTTCTTGGACGGCCGTTCCCAGCCGGCCCTAAACTTGATCAGAGATCAACGTGATCAGAAAATAGAGCCGAGAGGAGACGTCGGCGGCGAGAAACGCCAGTCCTCCGGCAACTGGAAGGAAAGGGAGGCCACGAGGACGAAAAAGGGAGCCGTCGGGAGCAAAGCACAAGACCTTTCAGGTAAGGAAGTAGCGGGATTGCAGGCATAGCTGGGAAAGGGAGCTGCGATGCTGGGTCGTGCTTCCTCCTCCTCGCTTTAATCTGGTTGCAAGGCGCGCTTGTAGTAGAGTGCAAGAAGTGTGCAAGAGTCGAGGTGCCACAGTGGCTCTCTGGAAGCGAAAAGGCGGAGAACTTTTGCAGTACTTCTGTTTGCGCCTGTAACGTGAGCCGGAGGCGCTCTGTTCTCTGCCTGCGAAGCTCTGAAGACCGATCCTGCGTGCGCCTACCCCGGAGCAAATCCCTTTGAATATAAGGTTGCTCTGATAAATGGATAGGTTGGAGTTGCCTCCTTAGCCTTTCTCCTCCCATCTCGACGCGCACGCTTGTTCCAAATACACCGGGTAGGTGGGGGGCTCTTAGGAGTTTATTGGGCCGACTTGGGAGTGCCTATAAAGCTCAAATCTCGCCGTGTGCTCTTTTTTCTTTCTCAGTTTTTTTTTTTTTTAACGGAGGGTGAGGGGCGTGCAAACTTCTCTGGAGTCTCGGTGCCCTTTCCACATTGCATCATAAAACCAGGGTGGAGCCACTCTTTCTCCACCTCCTTTCCCCTACCCCCTTCTTTAAGTAACTAGATTTGAAGGGCTTGCCCGGCTCTGCCAATCAGTTGTGGCTGGGTGTGAGTTCTGATCTTTCTTTTCTTTTCCCCTTTTGGGGGGAGTCGTTCAGGCTACAGATTGGATGTTTGCGTTGGGAGTGGACTGGGGCGGGGGGCGAGGGTGAGGCTACTTCTAAAGGCGCCAGGAGGAGACAAGCTGGGGAGGAGCTCAGCTAGAGCTGCACAGTCTGCTGATACGTAGGCACACGGCTACTCTTAAAATTTATATGGGAAGAGACCTAACGCTAAATGGTTGCGAATATGGCTCTGAAAGGCACAGCGTGAGCCCATGCTGTGCTGTTTGGGTTTCTAACAGTTTATTTTCCAGAGATGGCAAGTGGGGCCCTGCAAATGCTCCCTTGCTGCCTTTCCCTTGCATCTCTCCTGTAGAGATGGGGAGCGGCTTTATTAACTTGGGGCCACAGTAGTGGTGGGACTGGGAAGGTTTCTTGGCAGATGGGCCACCTTCTTCCTTTCATTCTGAGTCACCGTCTTTCAGGATAGGTAGAGAACACAGAGCATTACAGGGGTGCTTGGGTTTGCAGTGTGCTCTTTTCCAGCGCATGGGAATCCACTGCCTGCCAGATATATAGAACTGTTGCTGCATATGGCTGTGATGTAAGAGCCAGTTTATAAAAGTGCATCCCAACAGTTCGGCAGCTGTGGGTTCCCTTTCCATAGTCTTTGGTGTGGGTATCTATTAGTGCTGGCTTCAGGTTTTTGGGGGTCCCTGAGGCAAGACACTCTCCATTCTTCTCACTCCCACTGTTGCTCATTGGTTTTGCCTCCTCCTCTTTCTTATCACTGCTAACTGCTTGCTTGACAGGAATAGAGCCAGAAGTGAGTAGGTGGTGGCATCTATGCACCTCCTCCTTAGCACTTGCTATTCTTTGGGCCAGGGCAAGAGGCAGCTGAGCAAGTGGGTTGCAAGGAAGAAGGGGAGCAGCCACTAGGTACTGCTGCCATTTAGGCTCCTGCTGGCATGTGAACTCCTAGCAAGTGCCCATCCACTTCCAACCCTTGGCACCAACCACATTTTCCATAAGGTGTGCTTAGGGTATCTTTTTGTTACTTGTTGGATGTTAGAAAACCTGGCTTCTTTCCCCCTCCTTGCATTGGCATTGTAGTTAAAGATACAGCATATGATTTTCTGCTTTCTGTTTTCCATTTCACTGTGTTTTCCTTGCATATTGGGTAAAAGACAAATGTCAGAGCAATCTGCTGTCAAGTAATCTGGTTGAGATGCTACTAGCAAAACAACAAAACATGATTTAGCCAAAGCAATGTGTTGATTTTATATGTTATTCATGTTGATGCAGAAGTATGTCCTGTTCAGTGCTCCCCTTATTAATTTCTGTAGAGGAGCTCGTCATATTTTTAACTCCTCTTTCTCCAACCCCATCCCCCAAAAAGAAAGACATAAAATAATTAACTGTGCCTGGATTGTGTCTTTGTCTCTGTTCCTGCTGTTGTTTCACAGGCCTATTAATTTGATTAGTGAGAATGTGGAAAGTAAGTGGTCATAGTTGAAAAACAGTAATGAGTTAAGGCTGGAGCAATGGTTTTCAAACTTTCTGGCTTCAAATAAATCTTTCTGCAGCAGCTTGTCAGCTGTGTAGCCCCTAGGCATTGCAGAGGATTCTGGGAAGTATTCTAGGGCATATCCTTGGTTCACACAGCAGGCTTACAGGTCCTTGCCATTTCTCTGTATGAACTGACAATAGACCTTAGAATATATTTTGCAGTTTCCTGGAGGTATGTGCTACCTGGGGCAATTGCTAACAGTAAGCAAGCATGTATGCTTGGGCATTTGAGCTGTTAAAGTAAGTTAAAGAGTTCTTATATTCTCATGGGCTAACTAGCTTGAAAATATACCAAGAAGGGTAACAAGGCTAATCCTAGGATTAGGAGGAGTGAGTTATGAGGACAGACTTTAAAAAAAAGTGTGGAAAAAAGATTTTTTTGTAAATGGAGTGCAAGGGAAGCAAAACCAAGTGTGTTGGAAAAATGAAACCTGTCTTTTTACTCCTTCATAATAAGCTAGTAAAACTTACGTATGTATGTATGTATGTCTGTGCTGATGTTCAGTATAAAAGACTTGGCTCATGAGGTTTAGGAAGGTGAGGGTTCCTCATACATTGATTCTATTTCATCACATGGCTACTACAGTAACTTTTGTAATTGGAATTGCAGGCTCTTTAAAAACAAGCTAGTTCTAAGTTGAATTGTTCTGCCATCTCAAAGCTGTGCCAATGATTTTCATGAAAGATGGAATATGGTCTGAACAGTTAACGTAAAACAGTAGGAGTGTCTGTAGTGGGAAACAGCTGTTAATTCTGTATTAATCATATTTAACAAAGCATTCATATGCTTGCCTGAGTAATTCTTACAACAGATTTTGAAGGTATTTCATTATTACTCCCATCTTGCAGGTAATTGATGGTGAAAGTATGATAGCTTGTATGGTGCATCCCTGTGAGGGTTTGTAGACTGTGAAAGAAAATAAGCTATAAAGGCTTATTTTCTTTCCTTGTGGTGCAGAATGACTATAATTACCATTGTGGGGCATAGTTTGTCATGCTTTCTGAAGGGTACAGGGTAGAGATAGTTTACAAACCAGCCTCCAACCCTAGAATAAGCCATGGGTTTGTACACTCACCCACTTCCAGCCCTTGCCAGGTTCTGACAGCAGAGCAAACTGCCCAGCAATGGTAGCTGTGATAATTCCAAAGCCAGTGACTAGCAAGCAGAGGATGAGAAATAAGCTACCATGGCTTATTTCTTTCCCCTGGTTGTGTGAACTTGCTCACTGTGTGGATAGTGCCATTAGATGGTTTACTCACTAGGTGGCAGTGGAATATTTGGATGGAGTCTGGAGCTTCCTGCCAGTTTCCTTGTTTGAAAGATAATCAGGTTCTTGTTGAGTTTCTTACTGGTGTGTCTTTCAAGCCTTTGGTGGCAGAAGCTGTATTTGCATGTAAATTAACTGAGGGCTTTTGCCAAGGGTTTATTGTGGTCTTGTAGACAACAAAAGCCATCACTAGTGTTGCTAGTACTTGATCAATCCCCTGCCCTCTTCATCTGGTTCCTGACTGGTATCCCAGAAGCTTCCATGCCGGTCAGGACAGACACCCAACCTTTTGGCGTAATCTGGTCACTTACTGTTGGCTGGCTTGCACACATTACCAAGGAGATTTCTTCAGATCATCAGCCACATTCAGCATCCCAAAGCAAAGTAAGGTTTTCTCCTTGTTCTCTTGACCCCTTTTGTATTTTCCTGGAGTTTATTAGCAGTCCACCTAAAGGATTTAGCAAAAGCAGAACAAAGAAAATATGAACCCTTTTGAGACTGACCCTTCCCCCACTCCACTGCTTGGGAAGGGAAAGCTCCCTATTTCTCCCCCTGCCCCCAGACCCCATTCAGCAATCAATAGCTTTACATATCCAGCAAAACATTTTAGGGGAGGTTCTAAACTGCCCAGAGATCTTCCACTGTTGAGTGGTATAGAAGACAAACACATTTTATATAATTACTCCCCAAAGGTATTCCATACTACCCTTTTTACCACAATATCTAAAAAAGCGTGATTGCTGGATTCAAGTTTTGCTCAAAGTTCTGCAAAACAAAAGTTGCAATCGAACATGGTCTTGAATCAGAATAAGCTTCAAGAGGAAAAATACATGCTTATTCTGATTCAAGACTATATTAGATGGTAATTTTTGTTTTTGCATGAAAATCCATGTCCATTTTTGCAAATATACATGTTGGTTATGTGCATTTTTGAAATGTATGCGTTTGCCTCAAGTAAAGCATATCTGTGCACTTCCCCCCCCCCCAAAATATCCCTTTTATGTGTACTTTTCAAATGGGTGTAGGTTTTTGAATACATTTGGGTCTGCGAATCACATTGCAAATTCTGAAATGTATGAACTTTGAAGATTGTATTTGAGTCCATGTTCGGTCTAGAAGCTGGGTAAAAACTGAATTGTTCTGGATTCAAAACCGAACTGAAAGAATTATACCTCTATGTATACAAGGCAGTTTGTCTGTATGGAATACTTGTTTCACTTGTATAGAAAAGGGTTGAACCATCTCCATCTCCATCTGAAGACCGTTGTAGTCAGCATATAGCTTGCAGTTGAGTGATCTCTGAAATCCAGCCTCCTGAACTCTTCCCTTTCAGCCACAACTCACTCATTTGATAAATACCCTACTTTGGTCTGTGAGGTGATAAGTACCTTGCAGTCAGGATAAGACTTTCTCCAGAGCCAAGGAGAGAAATTCAACCACCAAAGAAAGGTCAGTGACCCTTTGTTGACTTCAGGAGTTATTTATTTTGCCCTCTGTGGGTGTAACAGTCAGGGC